GAGAACCGAGGAAGGACCGGCTGCGGAGATCAGAGCCGCTGAGTGAGGCTTGGACTGGCCCGTCCTCCCGGGCGGAGATGAAACAGGGAAACAAGATTCCTCTCGGGCCGTCCCAGGCGCCACGGGCCACAGCGGGCGGCGGGGCTCCGAGCACAGGCAGCCCCGTGTGGGCGCCGGCTCCCCCGAGGGCCGGGCTGAAGGCCCCTCGCCGGGCGGCTCTGCCCTTTACGAGGAGCCAGCAGGACTGTGATGAATGAGGTGTGTCCGGCAGCTTTTCGCGGTGGAAGGTGCTCAGCCAAGCCCGGGGAGGGGCCGCACCCCTGCCGCTTCCCTCCAGGCCCTGGTTTCTGGGCCTCAGTTTCCCCCTCTGATGGGTGGGTGGACAGAGGAGGAGTGCCCTCCCCCACCTCACTCCTAGGCGGTAAGCGCGGGTGGGAGACAGCCTGCCCCACTCTGCCCAGCCTCCCCCCGGGGTGAGGGGGAGGGGGCGGGCGAGGCGCCCTCCCAGACAGCCTCCTCCCCATTGGCGGCCTCGCTGGGCTGCCCCGGCAGTGCCTGTCCCTTCTGGTCCTGAGCCCCGGGTCATCTATCAAGGGGGACACTGGTGCCACCCCCAGGACAGCTGAGGAGGTGCCGGCACGGTGCCCGCTTAGAGTAACCCTGCCGTCCACAAGGCCGCCTGGCCCAGCCCCCAGGTCTCCAGGAGGGGCCTGGTCAGCGAAGGTGCCGCTCCTTGGCCTGGGGAGTGAGTGCCGGCACCTCCTCAGAGCACCGAGTCCCAGCTTCTGTTTCGGAAAGTCACTGTGGGCCCAGCACCCGCCGGGGCCTCCAGTCTGTGCCCGGCCTCTCCTGCCTGTGAACTGGGCAAAGGCCGGGACAGGGGCTGCAGCCAGGGCCGGGGCCTCGGGGAACCTCTTCGTCAGCATGAGGGAGTCTCCCGAGACCGCCGCACACCGGTGGGCAGCGCGTGGCACACCCACCGCCCAGGTGCCCGCGGGAGTGCGCAGCGAGAACCGCACAGGAAGCAGCTGGCACTCTGGGTCGGTTCAGGCTGACAGGGCGCCACCGGCTGGAACCTGCGGTAAACAGCCAGTTCCTCCCTCCGGGCAGAGTGCTCCGGGCGGTGCCAGGGTCCACAGGAAGTCCCTCCTCGGCCCGCCCGGCTCCCCTGCCCGGGCCTGGGTGGAGTGGCCCCTGCTCAGGCCTGGCCGGGGCGCTGGCCACCGTGAGGCCCAGACCAGGAGTCCGGTGTCTCCAGGTTCTGCCCGGGCAGCTCTCAGCGCCTCGTGGGGTTCCGTGTGGACCGTGCCTTTCCTTTCATTTCCTCGTGGGTTTTCCACAAACACCGAGCGTCCTCACTGCACTGGCTAGCACCCCCGGCCACCTCTGTCCTGGAGCCTGCAGGGTGAGGGGCGCTCGGTCTGGCCAAGGTCACCAGCACCTCGGTGGCGCCCAGGTGTAGACCGTGTCCCAGGCGCCCAGGGAAAGACCGCTAAAACAAGCGCACAGCCAGCCATGCAGGATGGAGCCCCAGGACCGCGCTTCCTGCCGTGGCTCTGGGCAGGTTCTGGCCTTCTGTGTCCGTGTCCTCATCTTGCGTGGATGCGTCGGATGCCCGCCACGGGGCTGTGAGCACACGCGGGGCCGGGCGCAGCTGTCCCTCGTCCTGGGGGTGCGTGTGTGGCCCACCTACCCCCAAGCCAGGGACCTTCACCTGCACCCCAGGCCCCCACAGCCCACACGTGCACCCCCTGCTCTGCGCCCACTGCCAGGGGCACAGCTTTGCTGGGTTTT